TGTTGGAGATTGAATTCATACGGGCTAGGTAAATGCTGTACACTGAGCTAACTTCAGTTTCTTTTTTTTTTTAAATTTTTATTTTTTTATTATTCATATGTGCATACAAATGCTTGGGTCATTTCTCCCCCCTGCCTCCACCCCCTCCCTTACCACCCACTCTGCCCCCTCCCTCTCTCCCCACCCCCTCGCTACACGGCAGAAACTATTTTGCCCTTATCTCTAATTTTGTTGAAGAGAAAGTATAAGCAATAATAGGAAGGAACAAGGGTTTTTGCCAGTTGAGATAAGGATAGGTATACAGGGAGTTGACTCACATTGATTTCCTGTGCATGTGTGTTACCTTCTAGGTTAATTCTTTTTGATCTAACCTTTTCTCTAGTTCCTGGTCCCCTTCTCCTATTGGCCTCAGTTGCTTTTAAGGTATCTGTTTTAGAGTTTCTCTGCGATGAGGGCAACAAATGCCATCTAATTTTTTAGGTGTCTTACCTATCCTCATATCTCCCTTGTGTGCACTCACTTTTATCTTGTGATCAAACTAACTTCAGTTTCTTATGGGATGTTTAAGGTATCCATTTCTCAATGGTGAATTTTGGGAGGCTGTAGTTTTTTGAAGAATTTGTCCATTTCATTTAAATTGTTGGATTTATTGTCATGAAGGTATTGGTAATATATATATATATATTTTTTAACGTTGAGATAAAGAACTGGAAGTATGGCTCAGTAGTAGAGCACTTGCCTAACATTTGTGAGGTTGTTGGTTTGATCTCCAGCACTGCAAAAACACAGAAGACGATTGAAGTATATACATATAAAATTTACCCTTCTAAAGTATACAATTCAGTGATTTTTCATATATTTACAAAGTTGTGCAACAACACCAGTACCTAATTACACAACACTTTCATTACTCTATAGAAATCCCATAGCCATAGCATTTACTTTCCCACCATCTCCTCCCTCTCAGAGTCTCTACATCTACTCAATTCCTTTATGTTTCTATAGTTTTTCCTATATGGACATTTCATATACATGAGTTCATATATGGACTTTTGTGTTTGGCATCTTGCAATTTGATACTGTTTTTAAGGTCCATCTACTGTGTAGCATATATTAATACCTCATTCCTTTCTATGGCCGAGTGGTATTCCATTATATTGATATACCTTGTTTTGTCAGCAGGTGATACACATTTGGGTTGTTTCCACTTTATGACTGCTACAAATAATGCTCCACTGCATTTTCTAATGGCTGTCGGAAGATAGCATCAGGGTTTTTTTTTTTTTTTTCCTTTTTTTGGCCCCTTTGTGAGTCTCCAGATCTGTTAAGAATCAAACTTAATGTACTTCTAAGGTCTGAATTGGAATTATTTCTGAATCTAGAATCAGGCAGCACTTTATTCCATAAAATAGAATTTTTTACTATGTTGAATTAATGGAACCACAAAAGGCTTTATTTTATTTTTTGGTGGTTTGATCTTAGGGCTTCACACTTGTGAGGCAGGTACTCTACCACTTGAGCCACACATACAGCTCTTTTTTCTCTGTTTACTTTTTGGAGCTAGGGTATCGCTTTTTGCTCAGACTGGCCTGAATTGCAATCCTCCTGTTTTAAGCTTCCTGCCCGACCTGGGATGACAGGCATGTGACATTATGCCCAGATTTTTTTCCTTGAGAGATGGAATTTCACAACTGGCCAAAGGGATCCTCAGATCTCAGCCTCCTGATTAGCTTGAGATTAATGGGCATGTGCCTCTGTGTCTAGCAATTGATTGAGATGAAGTCTTTTGAACTCTCTACATGGGCTGGCCTAGAACCGAGGTCCTCCTCATGTCAGCCTCCCAAGTAGCTAGGATTACAGGTGTGAGCCATTGTGTCTGGCCTCTTCGGACATTTCTCTTTCTTGTACTGTGTTTTCCAGTGTCTGAAAATCATTTTCATACATTTTGCTCAGGTTTTAGTTGTTTCAGGTGGAAGTATAAATCTCACTCCTGCTACTGTCTTGGCTAAAAGTTGAAGTTCTTTAGGGAGAGTTTTAGATAGAAGAGTAATATAGTCAGGTATATATTTTATGTCACTTTGTAGACGATGCATTTTCAAGTGAGAAGATGTAAAGTGGAGGGAATAATTAGAAGGCAGTTGGCTTTGTTCAAATGATAGATCTAAGCAAGGTGGAGGGCAAGGTGGTGAACAATTTGAGAAATATTTAGCGGGAAGGTGGTGCAGGGTTTCTGAAAGTATGGATGGTGACTTGTTTACAGCTGAATCACCGGTGGTATTTGATGGAATGAAGAATCTGAATTTCTAAGGATGAAGTTTAGAAATATGCACTTTAATATATACTTAGGTTGATGCTTATGTACAGTATAAATTTTTAGAAGAAACTGGTGGTCATTATTCTTGAGCAGCAAGGAATGACCTTAAGTGCTTAATTAAAATGAAGATTTACATATTTATGGACAGACTTGCTAAAACTGAGTTTCTGGGATGATTGGGTCCAGGAATTTTTTACCACATTAAAGTTGTCCCCCTTCCTCCCCTTTACCCTCCTCCTGCTGGAGATTGAAATCAGGGCTTCCTGATTGGTAGGCAAGTGCTCTACCACTTGAGCATTTGTCCTAGTCTTCTTAGCACATTAAAGATTGATGACAAATATGCAGAAGTACCTCACAGACATGATTTCTTTCTTCTGAACTTCACAACCCTCTGAGAATGTAGGCAGGTATTATGTTTTCCATTTTACAGATGAAGAAATACAGTGAAGGTGGGCATAGTGGCTTGTGATGTTAATTGTGGACAGAACTGTCTCCTGCCACCAGACCTGGTACTCTTCTGCTGTGGTTCTGAACAATTTAGGGAGCCAGAAAAATCTGCTCTGTGGTCTCTTTGTACCAAAGAAAACTTCAGTTAAGCTTTTTCTAACAAGTAACTGTTAAAGATTGTCTAGGAAAGGTGTTTTTGTCTTGGACCATTATCTTAGTGCTTTTTACAACTGACTGAAAGTTTCTGAGGTCTCTTAAAATCAGTATAGTGTACATATTTAGTATTTTTCACTAATAACTAAAGAATCAGTTTCTAAATATGAATCTGTAGTGTAACCTTGCTTTTGAATTTTTGCAAGCTTATAAAAGTAGTAAGTTGTAGTATCTTATAATTTAGGTTGGACTTTACAGTTTTATTTTTATAGTATATTCTGTGGCTTATCCCATTGCTTTGAGACTAGACTTGACAGTATTTTCTGCAGAGATTTCTGTAGTCTTTTGAAGGGCTTTCATATGTGCCATGAATTTGAGATCCTATAATCTAGTTAACACAGTAGTACCAGTGTTAGACTGTAAGTAGTAGAAAAAGTAATTCTTCTCAGTGAAGATTGGTTTTTAGATTTGCTATTGAATGCTTGAATAGTCAGTGAATTTTGGTATGTGAAAACAAGCAAAGCTGTGTAGTAAGGGGTAAATAAAATAAGGCTTCAGGAATAGGACTTAGCTTGCTTTCTGTTTTGTATGGTTTTTAAAATAACTAAGTTTTTTAAAATCTCTAGTACTGTTACTATGAACAAATTATTACAATTTGTTATAATTCAAACTATGCTCCAGAGAGCATGTAGCTTTTTTTTGGAATGCTTAAGTTTGAAAAGTATAGTGAACAGTATGAGGCAGACAATATAATACTAGTTTAAATTTTTCTATTTATTACAAGGAAAGTCATACAGTCATTAAATTTAGGCAACTTAGATTTCAGTTAATTTCTTTATGGTGTTACTTAGTTCTTTTTTTAAAAAAACATTTCATAGCGAATGAGTAGAGAATTGTTTGTATAAGATGTCAGTGTTTCTTTTTTTTTTCTTTTATTATTCATATGTGCATACAAGGCTTGGGTTATTTCTCCCCCCTGCCCCCACCCCCTCCCTTACCACCCACTCCACCCCCTCCCTCTCCCCCCCACCCTCTCAATACCCAGCAGAAACTATTTTGCCCTTATTTCTAATTTTGTTGTAGAGAGAGTATAAGCTATAATAGGAAGGAACAAGGGTTTTTGCTGGTTGAGATAAGGATAGCTATACAGGGAGTTGATTCACATTAATTTCCTGTGCGTGTGTGTTACCTTCTAGGTTAATTCTTTTTGATCTCACCTTTTCTCTAGTTCCTGGTCCCCTTCTCCTGTTGGCCTCAGTTGCTTTTAAGGTATCTGCTTTAGTTTCTCTGCGTTAAGGGCAACAAATGCTAGCTAGTTTTTTAGGTGTCTTACCTATCCTCACCCCTCCCTTGTGTGCTCTCGCCTTTATCATGTGCTCAAAGTCCAATCCCATTGTTGTGTTTGCCCTTGATCTAATGTCCACATATGAGGGAGAACATATGATTTTTGGTCTTTTGGGCCAAACACTTGCTCATGAACCTTTTCACTGAAAATCTGAAGATTGACAACTCTATTTTTATTTTTATTTTGTTGTTGTTTGTTTTTTGAGACAGTGTCTTGTCCTGTAGCCCAGGCTGGCCTCATTTAGCTTCCCAAGTTCTGGAACTGTAGGCATGTATCACCATGCCTAGCTTGACAACTTTTTTGGGGGGGTAATTACTGGGTTTGGACTCAGGACCTTGTGTTTGCTAGGTAGTTGCTCTACCACTTGAGCCACTCGCCAGTCATTTTTGCTTTAGTTATTTTTCGAGTAGGGTCTCATGTTTATGCCCAGGCCCACTTGGACTGCGATTCTCCTATCCCCTCACCCCCACAAGCTCCCTGAATAGCTGGGATGACAGGTGCTTGTTTGCCTGTACTAGCTTTGAGCAGTAATCCTCCTGGTCTCCACTCTCCTAGTAGCTGGGATTATAGGCAGGAACCACCACATCCAGTAATTTGATGACTTTTTTTTTTGACAATGACTTTTTTTTTAATTTTATTGTTGTACTTGACAACTCTTAATAACAAATTTTATACATTTTTGATGTAGCTTTTTACTCTTTATCATGTAGGATCTTGGAGTGGCCCAACATTGTGAAGAATTTTAGAATGCCAGTTGCAGGCTATGAATTAGCATCTTCTGAGATCATCTTTTTTGTTAACTTGATTGAAATGACTCAAAAGGTTGTTTTTTTTTTTTTAATTTATTTACCTACTTTTTAACACCCCCCCCCATCCCCCTGCCTATTTGTTGTTTGAGATGAAGTCTTGCCCAGGCTGGCATCTACTTCTGGACTCAAATGATCCTCCTGCTTTAGCATCCCAAGAAGCTGGGACTACAGGTGCATGCTACTGCACCTGGTGACTTAAAGTTTTATATAATGCTTTTCATCATCATTGTAATCTCATGGATGTATTTCTCAGACTTGTAATCAGCAACCAAGTCAATATTTTTTAAGAAGTTTATTTGTAAGAATGTGTGTATAGCTTCATTTCTATTATCTATGTGATGGTACTAGGGTTTGAACTCAGGGCCTCAATGTGTCACTCATAAGCACTCTACCACTTGCAAAAGGATTGCATCCCCTAGTCCTTTTGCTATTGGTTTTTCAGATAGAGTCTCATTCTAATTGTGCATGGGCCAGCCTTGAACCAAGATCCTCTTATCTCTGCCTCCTCAGTAGCTGGTTCCACAGGCCTGTGCTGCCAAACCAGGTGTTTTTTTATTTTGGGGAGAGCTTAGGGATTGAACCAGGGCCTCACACATGCCAAGCATGCATTCTGCCACTGAGCTATATCTTTAGCCAGTCAATTTATTATTTTATTTTTCATTAAAAAATTTTTTATTTCCTAGTATTTATTTATTTATTTTGGTGATACTGGGGTTTGAATTCGGGGTCTCCTGCTTGTTGGGCAGGTACTCACCACTTGAGTCATGCCCTCAAACAGCTATTGAAATTGAAATCAAATTTATTTTCTGTTTACTTCTAAAATACCTTTGACAGATTAGTCCTACAGAGGTTATAGTCTAAGGCAAAAAGATTCATTAAAATGTAATGATTATTATTTTTTTTTTCAGGGCTAGTAATCAAACCTAGGGCTTCATTCATGCTAGGCAATTGCTCTATCATCGACCTATATCCCTGTTCCCTGTAAGTGTTTAAAGTCACATTCCAGGCAAAGTCATGATTTTTTTACTTCATTACTTTGCATTATAGATTAATTCCTTAATATCATAAAACACAAATAGGTACTTTATTATTAATGTTCAGGTAATCACAGACTTTCAGAAAATGAGACATGTCTAACATTGATAATCAATAAAGGAATCTAAGGACCTCTCTGACTTGTAGGAACTTTAATTTAGAATTAATTTTAGGAAATATGTTTATGGGTACTTCAAGATGAGTTTATAAGAATGTTAACAAATCTTCCAGGCACCAGTGGCTCATGGCTGTAATCCTAGCTGCTCAGGAGGCAGACATTAGAAGGATTATGGTTTGAAGCCAACTGGGCAAAGAAGTTCTCAAGACCCCATCAGAGAAAAGAGCTGACAGAGTGTCTCAAGGCATAGACCCTGAGTTCAAACCCCAGTACCGCAAAAAAAAAAAAAAAAAAAAAAAAAGAATGTTAACAAATCATCTTACTCTGTTGAAGATTAACACCTAATATGACTAAATGTAAGGATTTATTTATGTGAACTGTATTAGGAAATAAAACATGCTGTGTAATTGCTTAGAAATAATTGCTTTTATCCACAAATCTGTAGATAATATTATAGTCATAATGCCTATATTGTGGTTTCCTTTTACAGATACAAATTGTGTTAGTACAACTATATAAGTAATCAATATCTGAAGTCTCAATGTGACATGGACATTAACAGTGATGACAGATAAATACAGATGCTTGGGAATCAACTAGGCGAAACACATTCTAAAAGGTAAGGAAAAACACATTATCTTAAATAAGGCCAAATGAGGTGTTGTTAGAAGTAATTGACGGAAGTTTCTTTTTCAGTGTATTGGGCTTTTAAGAAACAAATCTGCAGGATCCTGTTGGTCTTAATACTGGCTTGAAACTCTGCAGTAAGTATTAGTTCTTCTGTGAAAATAACAGTTGCAGATATTCTTATCTGGAAAATACCATAGTGCATGATGTTCCTGCAGTGACCCTGCTTACAAAGTGCAGTAATGTGACTAGAGTTTAATAGAGTGCTAGGAATGGGAACATCCTGTGTCCTCAGAGACACTTTTAAGTCGTGTAGCTTTTATTTCTGATGATAACCACAAACTATAAAATGTAACGTTTTGCTTTTTTGTTGAAAGCTTCAAGGTTGATTACAAAGAGGTTGCTAATTGAAGTTTATGGTATAAGAAGAATGAATTTTCAAGTCAAGGGTTACTTTTTATAGGCCAGTGTTTTCACTGTACTTCCCTTCTTCATGTACTTTAGAGCTTACTAAAAATGTAGGGGTAAGTAGAGGCTGGGCATGGTGGTTCATGCCTGTAAACCCAGCTACACGGAGGCAGAGGCAGGAGGATCATGGTTTGAGGCCATCCGGGCAAGTTAACTGGAGGCTCTATCTGAAAAACAAACTAAAAGCAAAAGAACTAAGTGAGTGGCTCAAGTAGTAGAGCACTTGCCAAGCAAGCACCAAGGCCCTGAGTTCTAGCCCCAGTATGGGGGTTAGAGGTGGAGGTAGAAAAAGAAAAATGAAATGTAGTGTAAATTTGGACACTTTCCTATTGTGTGCTTTTCTGTGAATTTGCAGGCATATTTGGGAGAAGTTGCATCTATAGATAGTAGATATTAGCCCTATTCTCCTAAAACAATAACTTGTTTTTTCTAATTATATAACTTTTCTTTTTTTATATATATTTGTTGCAGAAAATACCAAAGCAAAAGGACTTTCTAGGATGAAAATGTATTATGTTAGGATAAGATTTTGTATGGTATATGATAGTGAATGGAAATGTATTTTCAAGGAGAAAAATTAAAGAAATAAAATGGCCTAACTCTAAATATTGCAGAAATGTTTTTACATTAAAGAAAAGCTTGTTCACGTGTTTTTTTGTTTTTTGTAATACTGGGGTTTGAACTCAGGGCCTTACACTTGCTAGACAAGTGCTCTGCCACTTGAGTCAACCTTCCAGCTCTTTGTTCATGTGTTTTTAAAACAAGGATGGCAGGCATCAAATCATGATAGTATTTAGATTTCATTAAGTATGTTTAAAAGATCAGTTTTAACTTGACAATTACTTAATTTGACAATAATCTACTGCTTTCTAGGAGGTAGTAACCATAGTTTATAAGGTTTAATAATTGCATCAGTGTTTAAATTTTAATCCTTACTGAAAATAGTCTCACTTTTAGAATATCTTGTTTTATGCTTATAAAAGTGACACTTTCCATCATAAACATCTGCTGGTCTTTTTTCTGGTACTCCTTGTTTGCACATGGGCACTTGTTATAACCTATTTAGTTAGATCACATACTCTCTGAAAAGAATATCATACTACATTAGTAAAACTATAATTAAACATACCGTTCCTAGATTTGGGATGCTGTTAGGTTAAGTAAAATATCTGGCTAACTGGGTACTAAATGCAGAAAATTCTTATTATTTTTGTCCTTGTTGAAAAATCTATATGTCAAAAATAATAAAAACGTTAATGATTGAGTCTTATAGCACTTTAATAAGTATCACAGTTATCCTGTTGGTATAGAAGGCTTGGTTGATTGTTTTCTTGTGCATAACTTGAATGGCTTTTGTTGTTTAGTCTCCAGTTTTGCATACTTGGAGTCCAAAATTTGGGAAAATTTAAATTCTGTCATGAGAAATCCTATCAAGGACATTGTTTATGTCATCTCAAAAAAAAAAGAACCCTCATTTTGACTCAAACTAATATTTGAGTTGTAGGATTTGATATATTTCAAGCTCTTTTTGGTTTATATTTATTGCTTCTACAAATCCTGTTCTGGTTTCTGAGTATCCCTGAGGCTGTCATTACCAAGAAACACCAAAGATGTCACTATAAAGAAGTTCTACCTGCTATGCCCTTTTATCATAGGAGTAAATCTGTTAGTACAAGTTAATTTCCTTTTTTAATTCTTTTTTTTATTATTTTATTTTAAAGAAAGGAATTTAAAGAGGTTCTAGTATTCTCCATGGCTGGCGCTGAGAGTCTGAAACCCTGATGCTTAAGCTCTATTCTGTAGATCATAGCTCCAACTCCATCAGGATATAAGGAAAAGAGATAATATTTCCACAATGATAGATCTTTGGTTGTACAGGTAAGTTATTTAGTTTTGCAGTAGTGAAGAAAAACTGTAGTGTTTTTTTTTTTTTGAGGGTGGGAGACTTGTTATTTTTCCATAGTTCATCTTCTGTGTGGAAAATTGTGTAGTCTGGCTAGATGTTTATTGGAACGTGGAGCTATAGGGAATAATGAGCTAGGGATGAAATATTTTCTTACTCTTTTCCCAACAAGAGAATAAATGAAATGACTGAATATGTTGGAATCTCTAGACCATTAAACCTGTCTTTGACACTTAGGTATTTTAAGGGGCATTATGGAATTCCTTGACTTCTTTTTCTCAGTTGTCTTTTTTTAAGTGTGTATTCATTCAGGTCAGTTCGTCGGTCTGTCTATCTATCTATCTATTATCTACCTATCTATGATATGTCTATCTCTCTTAATGGGGAAGAAGTAAAAAATCCCTTTATATAAAGCAGAACATAGTAGATTTCCCAGACTTCAAAAAAGTGAATGTTAAGAATTCTATGAGTAGGCCCCAGTTTTCATTCTCCTGCTGTTAACATAGATACAATAATAGTAATTGAACAGGTGAAATAATTTGTCTTAAAAGAATTATATGACAGACATAGCCTGAACATTGTGAAACAGTTTATGTTTTAGACAAGTAAAAAAGAATCAGATTGATGACACTTCTCAGTTGTTCTTGCTCTTTTTTTTCCCTTTTACTTGGTTTTCCTACCTGAAAGTATATCAGTATCATAATCAGTTTCTTAAACATTGCTCACTTAATAAAGCTAATTGTTATGAATGATAGTGAGTGTGAACAAGAATATTGGTGTTGATGGAAGATTGCCAGCTCCTCAATTCCCAAAATTGACGGTCTCACCTTTGGTGATTAGAGTAGGAGCCAAAGGTTACAGTAGGTGTTTTCGAAATAGCTTTTTGACATTTCTTTCATTTAGGGAAAGGTAATACCTGGAACAGTATTTTATTAGGAGAACCTTATTAAATATTTATTATTCCTTTTAGTTAATATAGATACAGTTCTGCAGGCATGATGAAAATTTATGATCTGAGTTATAGCTAAATTATAGCTGATAATACTTCAGAAGTTTATAGTTAGGTTTGGGTAAAAGTAGATTCAACTTTGGGGGAAGATAGTTCAGTGTCATGTAAGTGAAAGGTATATGTGAATTTAGGGGTAGGTTTAACATGAATGGACAAGTTAAAGTTTGGTTGAATGACCCTTCTTACTCATGTATTCCCTTTAGTAGGATGAAAGTTTATGAGGGTGGGGAATATAGGTAGAGACTCTGTTTAGTTCTAGTGATGGATCACATTTTCTTCCTTCTGTATGCTTGAAGTGCCACTGTTTATTTGTTGGTGGGTAACACACAGGAAAAATTTTAGTCTGGTTGCTAGATTGGGTTTTGCCCATGTAAATTTGTTAATTAATGATTTCTCTCAATTCTAAAACTACAGAGATTGAATTTCTATTTCCAAATGGATGCTAGCTAAGGTTTTCACCATATGTCTCCTATTTAGTTCTAAGTTCATTTCTCTTCCTTTCTGTGTGCTCCAAACCTCGTCAGTGGATTCTTCAGTAACATTGAATTATACAGCTGAGAAATAATCTAGATGTTTGTAGTCCCTTTTTGATAACTAAATTTTGTACACAGTTTATCAGATAACTGTAAAAAATGTGTACCTTTGTATATGCTTATCCAGAATAGGAAAGATATGAATAAAAAGATTGGAAGAAAAGAATATATCATCAAAGAGAAGAGCAGTAAAATTTTATTTAATGCTACCCTTTATAATGTTAGCTAATTATTTTATGTGTGTATAACATGTTAATTCTATCCAAGGAGTTTTACAGTCCTCTGCTTGGTGCTTCCTTAACCAGAGGGATCATGGCCTTATTTATAATTTAAAAACATATGATCCAGCAAGGAATTAAAAGGTATATTGTAAACAGATCTAATTTGGTTTGAAATTTGGTGTTTAGAATACGTTCTGAGGGCAGTGGTTTAAGGCAGTGCTTCTCAAACTCTAATATACATACGAATCAGCTGGGTAGGACCTGATAACCACCCATTCATCCTCTCCCCCTCCCTCCCTTCTTCTTCCCCTCTCTCCCTTCCTCCCTCCCTCCCTCCCTTCCTTTTCTGTTCTAAGTATTGAACCCAGGGCCTCCAGCATTCTAGGCAAGGGCTCAATCCCTGTTGCATTTCTATCACATTTCCAGGAGATGCCCAGGATGGTGATTATCAGGCTACTCTTAGAGTTGCAAGAGTTTGAAGGGTCCTTGTTGTAAACAGGTTCTCTTTAAGTATAGGATAGGATAGCATAGGATTTGATAACCCTAAAACTTGAACGTTATAGCTGTTTTAGAGAATAAAAGCAGCGTGGTGGAGTGGCTCAAGTCGTAGAGTGCCTGCTTAGCAAGTTTGAGGCCTTGAGTTCAAACTCCAGTATTGCAAAAAACAAAAAAATTTTTTACAATAAAACCATTTTTAGGAAACAAAGGAAATAGAAAGAGGCTTAATCTTTCATACTAACTATTTTTGATATTTTAATCACTGGCACGGTGAAGATAAAGGCCCTTGTTGCAGGTGGTATTTTATAATGATTTTATTTATAAAAGTGTATGTATATACACATAGGCGCATACACACATACTGTTTATAAATAGTAGACATATTTCATCCAAAGTAGTCTCTTTTGGAGAAATTACACAACCATGCAGGGGTTTTGTTCCTTCTCAGATTGGTTGAGAAAGAAAACAAAGGTTAAGAAAGGTCTGTTATTAGAATCATAAGAGGTTATACCTTTAATTGGCTTTGCTTTTAAAAAGTAAAGCTTAATAGATTATTTATATTTATAAAATATTACAATTGCCAGTATTATTTTTGAGCCATATATTATGAATATAATTAAATTTGCATTAGATTTTATAATAGCTTACTTGTGAAATTATTTTGTTAGTTTTCATTGTACATTTACAGAGGTATTTAGTGTTTAACTTTCAAATTTGAGAGCTCCAGATTTGGATACATGAAACAAATAGTTTGCTTTTAATGTTTTTCAGTGTATTTTTAAAAAACATCATTTTAAATTAAAATTTATTTTAATCGAAAGTGGAATTTATGGAACATTCAGTGTTTACTACCAGTGAATAACAATAAATACTGTAATTTTGATGAGAAGATATTAACAAAAGAGAGTTTTATGTTAGAAATCCCTTTAATGTCCTTTTCTCACAGTAAGAGCTTACTGTAAGAAAACATTTCCAACTTCTGATTTATATGTCCCATACTAATTGTTTTACTTGATTGCTATGAAATTCTCTAGAGAATTATACTTTAATTCCAGGGCTGGTTTTGTGAGTCTTGTAAGATTTTAAAAAAATAACTAATTACAAATTAAAAAATATGCCATACTTTGAAACAAAGCCAAATTTATCCAACTTACCTATTTTACAGAGTACTTTCTTCCTTAATTCATCTGTCAGCAGCCAGGAGCAGGGAGACAATTTCTTTTAATGTTTCTGTTTTGTGTGTGGTAGCATCTTTCTGTATCTTCCTCAAGTTCTAACCTTTGCACTATTAGATTCTTGTAGTTGAGACAAAGGAGAGATTGTGTTTGGTTTGCAAGGTGGGGGTAGGATAAAATGGCATTTGGAGAGTGATATGTGAGGGAGGCAGTTGAAGATTGACAAAAGGCAGGAGGAGGGGATGGTGAAATGTATTCAGCCATTACTGGCCTCTTTTTCTAACCATCCTATAACCCATTTGAAGTTAAGCAGTGAAGGTATCTTAATTGGAAGCTAAATAGAGGATGGGCAGGGTCATGGAGGCATGAAATGTACCATCTTCTTTATTCTTTTTGATGGGGGAGCCTTTGAAAAATGTCATTAAATCTTTCAGTGTTTATCTAAGTGGGACTTTTCCAGTATTCCTCACATTTCTATCTTAGAAACATCAAGCGTCTACACCATAAAACCTGCTCATCTCCAAACCACCCATTCACTGGCATGCACTGTACGTGGGAGTTCAAAGAAGGAAAGGGTGGGATTCTATATATATTCCTGATTTCTTAAATGTAAATGTTTGTTTCAGAGACATATTTCCCATTTTCTTCTATCTTCTTTAAAATACTTCCTTTCACTTGGTGACTTGTGACTTTTTTAGAAACCAGGAAGGCTTTGCTTTGTTTTATTATTAGCCTGTGCAAGCTAGCTTTGTGATTTCTATTCATTGATTTAATTACAAAAAACTATAGTGCAACCAAAAAGTTTTCTTTTGGTGCCAGGTAGCTTATTCAATGGATTTGACCTGAAACTCATTTTAGTAAGAGTGATTTAAAAATAGCAGGGCCTGACTTTCTGTTTTCCATGAATGTTTTAAGAGAACGTTAGAGGTGATTGGGATAGTTTTTGTAAGTTTTATAAATACAAGATGAAACTTAATGTTTAAGATAGATCATTTCTGGGTACCTCGTACCTAACTGGGAGGATGATAGAGAGTGAGGCAGGCTGGGATCATGGTCTCTAGAGCCCTCTGTGCCACTTCCTAGTTGTGTGACTTGGAGTAGATTATTTAACCTGTGCCTCATTTGTATAGTAGAGATAACAGTAGTGCCTAGCTAGCTCAGTTGTTGTGAGACTTAAGTGAGGGAGCATATTAAGTGGCATATAATTGTTAGCTGTCATTAATATTATTATTGGGAATGTTAATAAAAAACCTTTGCCCCATAATTTTGCTAATATTGACTATACTTGGATTAAAATCTTTATACTTTTGTTTTAGATATATTAACTATTACCTTTTCTCATTATTTTGTTTACATTTTTGAAGGTTTCCCAATGAGTGGATCATGATGACCGTATTGTAGGGACTTGCCATAGTATGGCTGCTTCCCGATCTACTCGTGTTACAAGATCAACAGTGGGGTTAAACGGCTTGGATGAATCTTTTTGTGGTAGAACTTTAAGGAATCGTAGCATTGCTCACCCGGAAGAGATCTCTTCTCATTCTCAAGTACGATCAAGATCACCAAAGAAGAGACCAGAGCCTGTGCAGATTCAGAAAGGAAATAATAATAATGGAAGAACCACTGATTTAAAACAGCAAAGTACTCGAGAATCATGGGTAAGCCCTAGGAAAAGAGGACTTTCTTCTTCAGAAAAGGATAACATAGAAAGGCAGGCTCTAGAAAATTGTGAGAGAAGGCCAACAGAACCTGTATCACCAGTTTTAAAAAGAATTAAGCGTTGTCTTAGATCTGAAGCACCAAACAGTTCAGAAGAAGATTCACCTGTAAAGTCAGACAAGGAGTCAGTAGAACAGAGGAGGACAGTAGTGGACAATGATGCAGAGTTTCAAGGGACTAAACGAGCTTGTCGATGTCTTATACTGGATGATTGTGAGAAAAGGGAAATTAAAAAGGTGAATATCAGTGAGGAAGGGCCACTTAATTCTGCAGTAGTTGAAGAAATCACAGGCTATTTGGCTGTCAATGGTGTTGATGACAGTGATTCAGCTGTTATAAACTGTGATGACTGTCAGCCTGATGGGAACACTAAACAAAATAGCACTGGTTCCTATATGTTGCAGGAAAAATCGGTAGCTGGAAATGGGGATTCGGAAACCCAAACTTCAATGTTCCTTGATAGTAGGAAGGATGACAGTTATATAGACCATAACGTGCCTTGCACAAATTCAGAAGTGCAGGTCAAGTTGGAGGACCACAAAACAGTAACTGCCTGCCCGCCTGTGGAACATGTTAATCAGCTGACTACTGAGCCAGCTTCAGGCCCTATTTCTGAAATTCAGTCATCTTTAAGGGATTCTGAGGAGGAAGTAGATGTGGTGGGAGATAATAGTGCCTCAAAAGAGCAGTGTAATGAAAACACCAGTAACATCTTGGACACAGCTATTGAGAGTATTCCAGTCTCTGGAGAACCAGAACAATCTTCTGTTCTAGACTGCGTTTCATCTCCAGTGATGTCTTTATCAGAACCTCAGGAGCATCGCTATACTCTGAGAACTTCACCACGAAGGGCGGCCCCTACCAGAGGTAGTCCCACTAAAAGCAGTTCTCCTTGCAGAGAAAATGGACAATTTGAGGAGAATAATCTTAGTTCCAATGAAACAAATACAACTGTTAGTGATAATGTAAGTGAGTCTCCCACAAATCCTGATGATGTTTCTCAAAATGAAAAGGTTATGTGTTGTGGCTCTCAAAACTATGGAAGTGAAGGACTAAGTAAACCATCCTCAGAGGCAAGACTCAGTATTGGACATTTACCATCTGCCAAAGAGAGTGCCAATCAGCACATTGCAGAAGAGGAAGATGATGATCCTGATGTTTATTACTTTGAATCAGATCATGTGGCACTGAAACACAACAAAGAGTATGTGTAAATATGGTAACCATGAATTCTGCTTTGTTTATCATTCCCCACGTTTTCAGTATCTATTCACAAATGTCTTTACATAGTATTTTTATTATAGCTAAAATTAACACTAGCTAGATTTTTAGGCTTAATATGAGTTCTCAACTCTTAAAAATAAACCTCCAAAAAGGAAAGACTTTAAAACTCAACTTTTCATTGTTTTTCTCTATGACAGTATGCTTTTTCTAGTTCTGCTGTTTCACATGTCTCAATCAGAAAGGACATGTGGAAACATGGGTGGTTGTGTGCTTGTTTTTTTTTTTTTTTAATATGTTTTATATCACTGAAGTGATACAAGATGGGAAAATCTTGCATTACCACAATATACTTTGGTTCAGAGTTGTAGAATTTTATGTAATACCTATACATTACAGATTGTGTAGAACAAGTAATGAGTATGTAGATATATCCTGATATGGGAAACCTGGCAAACTAGAAATCTACCTTTATCTTAGTTATTTACATTTAATTTTCAATTTTTTTTATTTAAAAATGTGCTTTATATATCTTTGGCTTTTGTAACTTAGAGAAGTAGATAGTACTGTTAGCACCATGACAGTTAGTTGTATGTTAACAAGAGTTAGTATCTGCTCTATAGTCTCTGTAGAGGATTTGATACAGTTTTTCCTGGTACTACATATCATCACTTCTCAGCCTTTACTACAAAGGATACTTCTGTAAATAAAGAATTCTTTGTCTAGAATTTTCACAGTTTTGCTTAGACTTAACATTAAAGTATTCTGAAAAGTAACACAAATGAAGTAGCAGTATGTCTCAGTGATCTTAAATGAAACTGTAACAGTGCTCAACAGAAGTATTTTAATCAGCAACAATAAAAGACAAATTTGCTCTTATAGTGAGTACCTGTGGCACTGGGTTTTGAACTCAGAGCCTTGCATTTGCTAGGCAGGAACTCTATCACTTGAACCATGTCCCCAGTCCTTTTTGCTTCAGTAGTAGTTGTTGTTGTTGTTATTATTATTATTTTAGATAGATTCTGCATTTTTGCCCAGGCCAGCCTGTTCTGTGATCTTCCCACTCTTGCCTCTCACCTTGCTGGGTGTACAGATTGATACCACCTTTCCTGGCTTATTGGTTGAGATGGGGTCTTGCTAACTGACCTCAAACCACAATTGTTCCAATCTTTATCTCCCATGTGGCTGGGATTACACCCACACTCATTCTAGGGCAGGCTTTTGAATTACTGTCACAAGCAGGTTATATTGGCTGTGCAAAAGTAGTTTGAGGAAACATTCTAATGTTTTGTGGTGACAATTGCCAGACTCTGGTATGTTCAGCTCAGATCTTGGTTGTAGGATATGATGTTCTTTTTCCTATGCATAGTAAATCACTCAAGATTTTTTATATGCTAGTACAATGGCCTTTTGGCATTTGTCTGTTCTGAAAAAAATTTCTTCTATTTGCTTTTAAAATATTTTAATATTGGATTTAATACCAAAATCATTTTATTTGAACATTTTATAAATTAACTTTTGTAAAAATGTTAGGAGTCTCATGTATTTGAAATGCTTGAAGTCCAGTTTGAGATAGAAAACCATAATAATGGTATAAATGCAAAATGTTCAATTAGTTATAAGCTGAACTAGGCATGGTGGCACATACCTGAAATCTTAGCACTTGGGAGAGTGCTTAGCACTTGGGCTAAATAGGGAGACCTTGTCTCAACAAAAACCCCCAAACAAATAAATTGACTTATTACCCCTTGTACATAGTATCAGTTTTAGAAGTAGAGTTATTTATCTGCATGTGCATGGAAGCAGAACATATATTTTGAAGAAATACCCAATGTGATTTAAAAATTATTTATATATAAAAATATATATATATATATATATATATATTATTTTTTTTTTTTTTTTTTAAATTGGGCCTTGCTACATTACCCAGGCTGGTCTCGAATTATGGGCTCAAGTGATCCTCCTGTCTCAGCCTCCCAAGTGGTAGGGACTACAGGTGTGCATCATTATACTCAGCTTAAAAATATGAATTTTTACAAAAATTGTGGGGTTTTTTTGGGGGGGTATCGGTGTTGAACTGAGGGCCTGGTGCATGCTAGGCAAATACTCTACCATTGAGCTACTTCTCCAGTCTCATGAAATGATTGGTCATTGATTGTGGAGGAATTCAGTAATTTACTATTGTAGTACTTTTTTATAAGAGATCTCATGATGATAATTCTAAGGCTGATGTTTCCATAAAACAGTGTTACAAAGATAGCAGCTATAACACTTAAAGGGTAATATTTATTCTGTGTTCATCACTAGATAAGAGCAGTGTAGTTTCATGGGCTCCTTAGGATATAAAGAGTCCGTTGGAATTTGAGTGCTAGTCGCTTTGCTAGGTGATAACACTCTGAAATTAATGCTTCATTGAGTGACTTGAGGCAAAAGAAAGCTCTCATTTTTGTATTTTTTTGTGCCATACCCCAAATCTTTTGAAGATGGTACTCAGTGACGCTTTTTATTTGTCTATCTGTGTATCTATCTATGTCATCTGTCTGTTTATTTTGGCAGTACTGGGGTTGAAACTCAGGGCTTTGTGCTCTCTAGGCAGGTGCTCTGCTGCTTGAACCACGTTCCCAACTATTTATTTATTTATTTAGCTGCTTATTTGCTCATTCATTCATTCATTTATATTGGGGCTTGAACCCAGGGCTTTACACATGCTTGGCAAAATGCTCTACCACTGGGCTATATCCCTAGCTGTAACTTTCTCTCCCTGTTTTTCAAGTGAGGTGGAGTGGGAACATCACGGTTTGCATCTTGTTAGAAATAATTTGAGGAAAATTGGTATCAGGTCAGGTATAATATCTTTCATTAAGGCCCCATTCTTCTCACACTCTCATTCCCTTCTATTTGTATAGAGTTCAGTGATTAGATCTAATGCTGGCTCTGTTATATCTAAGTTGTTATTGTTAAAAATAAAAATACCATGATACCTATGTGGTGCTTTCAACTCTCAATCAAATTTGTGGCAGTTTGAAATAATGTTAAAAAGCAGTTGGGTTTTTGGACTAGAAATATGTCAAGTGGTAGAGTGCCTGCTTGCTTTGAGTTCAAATCCCAGTTCCACCAAAAGAAAAAAAAATGGCAGTTGGGTTTTAAAAAAGACACTTGAGGGGCTGTCAGTGGATTATTATCTTATACACATACATGTACACATACTCTGTCAAATATTTTTTCTCTTGCTTATTCCCTCTGTGGTGGAAAGGTTCTTCACATAATTGCCATTTCAAATTGAGAATTAAGCTTTGCCTAGACTAAACATGACTATCTCTACTAGAAGTAAATGAGTAGACTTCCTTACAGCCAATTTTAAAAATAGGTTGTTAAAGCCAGGAGGGGTAGAACACAACTGTAATCCCAGTTGGGAGACTGAGGCAGGAGGATAGCAAATTTGTGGCCAGTTTGGGCTGCATAATAATTTTGTGGCCAGCCTGGGCTCTACAGCAAGACTCTGTTTCAAAACATAAAACAACAAATAGATTTTGAATAGAAAATACTGAGCATTGTATAGTTATTTGTCTGCAGCCAGGAGGCCATAGGTCTTACCTCATTCTAGTTAAAACTTTCCTGCAAACTAACAATGATCATTTAGTCTGTAGTCTTCTGTCATGGCATTCAATTTTTAATTTAACCAATCTTGTGTGCAAGGATTTCACATATATAAGGTCATCTAATCCCTTGTAAATGTTTGAAAAGATTCTCTAACGTCCTAGCCTTAACCTGTCTCATGGAAAATGAGGCAGTAAGTAGGACCAGGGAAATGAATCTGCAGAAGTCCAGGGTTTTTACTCTGTTCCCTCTTTAGTTGCCATCCCTCTTCAGCGCATTTGCCCCCAATTATGCTTTTGTGTATATGTTTTGCAAATGGAGAACTCCACTGTAAGCAAGACACTAGAGAGTATCTTTTTTTTTTTTTTAAGTTTCTTTTCTTTTTATTCATATGTGCATACAATGTTTGGGTCATTTCTCCTCCCGTCCCCCACCCGAGAATATCTTTTTCTTTGGCAAGGTTCTTGCTATGAATTATTTTTGTAGATAGGCTTTCTCAGAGGTAAGCAAATAAGGGTCAAAAGAAATACTTTCACAGCTCTCTGATCTTCAAGGTTGGTAGATTCTGTTAATGTTATATAATACTTTGTGACTCTTTTTGTAACCTAAATAGCCTGTCTGAGATCATTCACTGAACTGTGGTTGCCCTTTCTGTGGTTCCTGATTCTGGAAATTGACTTTTTGCTAATTTTGAGTCAGAAACCCTCACTTAAGTTTTGATGTTCTGACTCCAGATACAGATTTCACATCCTGGATTTTAATGTTCAGAGCTTTTTTTCC